CGGGCGCCGCCATTTTTAAATCCCGGCTAGTTCGGACTCCCGGGAGTTTGAAAGTAGAAATAAGGGATCTTCCGGAAAAGGGTTTATTTTCCACAAGATCCCATCTAGACTGGCGCTTTTCTGCCAGCCATGTTCATGCAAATGCCGCGGAGAAAATTTAAATCCCCGCGGAATTTGCAATTCCGAAGTGTCTCATTAGCATCCCTTTTCCGGAAAACGTAGACCCAGCCCTACATTCTAGATCTATCCCCATCCATAAAGATCTATTCTAGTTTCCTTGTTAGCCCTATACATCCATTCTACATTCTTCCCCATCTGTAGAGATCCAGTCTAGTTTCCTTGGGATCCCCATACATTCATTCTACATTCATCCCCATCTGTAGAGATCCAGTCTAGTTTCCTTGGGATCCTCACACAACCACTCTAAACATATTTCCCCAGCCCTGCCAGTGCCGGACCCATTGGAGCAGGACTCTGAAATCGTTTTGAATGTTGGCCAGGAGGCGGGTTGCAGGAATGGCTGGCCTTACGATGCTCGCTCCTGTGTGTGTGTGTATGTGAATCCCCCCCCCTCCAGGGAAATGGTCTGACCCCAAACACATCTGGTGCCCCACAGACAGGGGACGAGGCTGAGAGATCTAGGTCCAATCCATAGCCCAGTGATGGGCAGGGTGGCAAATGTGTCTAAAGAAAACAGTGCTTTTCCCACCCAAACACGTCTCTTATTTCCTTCCCAATCATTTGTTTGCCCCACAAGCCTCCGTGTTCATTAGTTTCCCCATGGCTGGAAACAACCACTTCTTCCTTTTGCCTCCATGGCTCCCAGCCAGGCTTTCTGGGTTCCCTTCCTTTGGGTTTTCCAACCTCCCGTCAGCATCTTAACAAACAAACGCCCCATTCATTCTCCTGCCCTAGGCCTCGGCGGTGAGCAGCCAAGCCCAGGTCCCATCTCTGGGCTCTGGGTTTGCTCCCAGGGCATCTTTAGGATTCATGAGGCCTGAGGCAGGGTTATAAAATGGGGGCCCTGGCTCCAGTGTGTTGAAGGGGCAGATGGAGAACTGGGGAGTCTATGCAGGACCCCGGAGGCCTCATGGTGACCAAGCAGCCCCATGGGATCCCCATGTCCAGCCCAGAGCCAGGGGTATACAACCTGGGGCACAGGAGCAAGGAAAGGACTAGTCAGACCCATATGGGTGGGGGGACGGGCTGGCTCAGGGGGAGTAGAGACCTTTCCCCTCTACTGGCAGCCATTTTGAGGGCTGGCTGGGTAGAGCATAACTCAGGGGACATGGGGCGGTTTCCCTCTAGGACACATGGGACAAAGTGAGTCCCACAGCCCATATCGGGCCCTTTTGTCCAGCCCCTGATCACACACCTGGGGAAGCTCCCAGCCCCTCCCCTTTTCCCCACTGCCCCACAGCCTCAGATCCCCCAGCACCAGGGGGTGGGGAGAAGAGCACCCGCCACACCCCATGGATCCTCTGCCCCCACCTAAGTAGCCTCTTTCTTACAGCCTCCCCGCAAACAATGCCCCATAGACTTCCCCTCTCCCACCTTGGTAACATCCCCATTCATGCCACCGTAAAGGGTCAGGACCCAGACGTTACCCTCAGGCCAAAGCGTTTGCCCACCCCTGCCCAAGGGCATCTCTGTGCTGCTATCCCTCCTCCAAGCACCTCTTTATGCCCTTCCCCATCCTGTTTACTTGGGCTATGCACAGCACAGATGAGTATCAGTGCAGAAAAACCACAACCTGTCCCCTGAGTGAGATAGAGACGGGTGGCTCTGATCTGCCTGATACCAGCCTCCCGCCTCAGACCTGTGTACGTGACACCCAAAGCATCTCTGCCCCCTCTCATGATGGGGGCTGGCAGGTTCAAGTGTGACTCTAGGACACATGGGTCAAAGTGCATCCCACAGGCCATATTGGACCTTTCTGTCAATACACCTGGGGAGGCAAGTTCCCAACCCCTCCCCTTTTCCCCATTGCCCCACAGCCTCAGGACCCCCAGCACCAATGGGTGGAGAGTAGAGAGGGCCGGTATCACCCCTGTAGACTCCCCCCCCAAGACACCCCATGGATCCTCCTCCCCCACTTAAGTCACCTTCCCCTTCGAGCCTCCCTTAAAATTATGCTCCATAGACAACCCGTCCCCCACCTTGGTAACATCCCCATTCATGTTGCCATACAGGATCAGGACCTAGATGCGACCTTCAGCCCAAAATATTTGCCCACCCCTGCCCAAGGGCATCTTTGTGCTTCTGTCCCTGCTCCAAGCCTCTGTTTTTGCCCTTCCCCATCCTGTTTCCAAGGGATGTAATTACATCCATCCTGGATCACACCCTGGCCCCGTAGTGTGAGATAGAAATGGGTGGCTCCGAGCTCCCAGATACCAGCCTCCCATGTCAGACCTTGTGGACGTGACATCCAAAGCATCTCTCCCTCCCACCCCCAATTCCCCAGCAACAGAGACTTCTGCTGCACCATTTATGTTTTCAGCCCTCCACGTGGCTCAGCCCCATCCCTTGTCAATTTTGTCCCTGGCCAGTGTGGGAAGTGTCTTGTCCCTCCAGAGTATTCCCCAAAGAGCCAGGAGCAGCCCTGAAGCAGCCATGTCTGTGTGGAAGATGCCAGCCAATCCCCCTGCTGCCTCTGAGTCAGGTCAGTGACCCCCGACTAGAGCAACCAGCAGTGCCCAAGTGATGGGTGGATCCATAACTGGAAGGGTGGGGACATGGGTCTCGAATAGAAATGAGGGGCTCTAGATGTATCTAGAATGGATGGACAGGCATTTACACTGATATCAAAGTGATCTGCATGTGTGCAGGTGGGCCTGGATCGATCGCTAATGGAACAAACTCTGCTGGAATGCATCGGGTAAGGAATGAAGGGGACTTGGCTGTTTGTTCATCCATCTCCATGGACCTGGAAAGGCCACAGAGCTCTTCCTGGTTGGTTCTAGATGACGCTTGCTCCCTCTCTGTGGTCACTGTCCCTGCTCTCTGGCCCCTCCCTTCCTGTGTAATGGAAACCAGTCCAATTCCAGGCACATCCCATTGTCCTGGCACAATCCAATCGTGACCTTGCACAGTTGGGGGATCCTAGCTCTCACCTTTCAAGAGTTCTTGACCAACTGACGGGCGGACGGACAGACTCATGGACAGATGCACTAACTCTCATGCTCTCAGGACTGTGTCCCCCTCTGTCTGCGATTCCATCTCTCTGTGTGTCTGGGTATGTCTACACTCCCCCGCTAGTTCGAACTAGCGGGGGTAATGTAGTCATCCGCAGTTGCAAATGAAGCCCGGGAAATTCAAATCCCGAGCTTCATTTGCAACTGTGGATGACTACATTACCCCCCCTAGGTCGAACTAGCGGGGGGAATGTAGTCATCCACAGTTGCAAATGAAGCTCGGGATTTGAATTTCCCGGGCTTCATTGGCATGAAGCCGGCCGGCGCCATTTTTAAATGCCGGCTAGTTCGAACCCCGTGGCGCGTGGCTACACGCGGCACGGGGTTCGAACTAGCCGGCATTTAAAAATGGCGCCGGCCGGCTTCATGCCAATGAAGCCCGGGAAATTCAAATCCCGGGCTCAGGACTGTGTCCCCCTCTGTCTGCGATTCCATCTCTCTGTGTGTCTGGGTATGTCTACACTCCCCCGCTAGTTCGACCTAGCGGGGTAGTGTAGACATACCCTCTGTTTGTCCATTTGTCCAACAACTCCTAAACTGTAAGAGCGATGACCCTTGAATGCAGGAGGCAGCTTCCTCCAAGCCTAACACAGAGCAATGTGAGAGTTGAGTTGTGCCAGTGAAAGGGGGAGTACTGGGAATGGGGCTGTTTCCCTAATGTAAAAAGGGAGGGGAGGGGAGGAGAGGGGACAGACGTGGAAAGGAGGGTGTCAGGAATAGGAGGAGTGCTGATCAGCACCCAGCTACTAAGGGGTTAGCTCAGGTACCTAGCAAAGGTGGCAGCCATGGAGGTTCGGGCAGTCGGCCAATAAAAATGCAGGTAGGAAATTCAAACCAGGGAAGAGGGGTTTTTCTCCCTCTCTTCTTTGCTTGAGAGCAGAGCAATTTCTCCCAGAGACTGAGGGAGATGGGAGACACTTCTTCACTCAAAGAACGGACTTCTTAAAATGTGTAAATTTAGGGAGTCTGTCAGTTGTATTGATTTGTAAGTCATGTCTCAGCTGGCTAATTGTTATTTCTCTTTTCTAAATGAATATTACAGCCCAGGGATTCTCCCTGAGTCTATGTCGCTCCATGGCTACTTACCAACTAGTCAATTCACTGTGCTTACAAGAGTAGTTTTGTTTTGATAATATAGATCTATCTATCCCCACACAGCCCCTCTATCTAGCTATCTAGCTATCTATCCCCACACACCCCCTCTATCTATCTATCTATCTATCTATCTCCATACACCCCATCTATCTATCTATCTAGCTATCTATCTATCTATCTATCTATCTATCCCCACACACTCTATCTATCTATCTATCTATCTATCTCCATACACCCCATCTATCTATCTATCTAGCTATCTATCTATCTATCTATCTATCTATCCCCACACACTCTATCTATCTATCTATCTATCTATCTCCATACACCCCATCTATCTATCAAGGGGTTGGGAGGGGTGTGGGCACCCAACTGTCTCATTCAATGAATCAGGAATCCAGGGTTAGGATCCAGACACTACCAGGAGCTGCTGCACAAAGCCATTTAATGTGTCACCAGTGATGTGAGTGACCCACTGAGCAGGAAACGTTGCACTTTGCAGGGAGAACCCAGGACAGAAGCAGGAAGGGACACGGTACATAGGCTTTCCCCTCCAAGGGATGCCGGCTCTGGTCCAACTCCAGGGCATTGGAGTAGCTGGCTCAGAGGGGTGGGGAAATCAGCGCTGGAGAGCCAGGCCCGGGCTCAGAGGAAGGTCTGATCCCATGTGTCCAGGAGCAGGTTGGGTAGCAGAAGATCAGGTCGGTGTTGCTAGATTTTCGGCATGTTGGCTTTGATCCAGGGCACAAAGCGGGAAATCCGAGTGAACACAACAGGAGGGGCAGTGCTGTTATTGAAACCAAAGGAGACGATGCCCTCGGCCACTCCACGGCACACGAGAGGGCCCCCAGAGTCGCCCTGCCCCAGAACAAGCCGGGAGAGAAGAGTTAATGCCTCGATCGCACCTGGCTCTCCCAGGGCTGTCTGAGCCAGTAAACCCAAAACATGTGAAAAACTGAATTCACACTGAGAAGCCCAAGATGAAGGACTCTTGGAATTTAGACCGGAAACGCCCCTGCCATTATGAAGCCTGACCTCCTAGCTCATGCTGTGAGCAAAGAAAGAGGAGTAGCCACATTTAGACAGTCCCCATTGTCACACAATGGCAATGAGACTTGAGGAAGGCATGTCATGTAAGGAATCCTTGGAAAGGTTATAAGCGGTCTCACCATTGTGCCTGAAGCTGTGAGTACTGGCTACCTGTTAGCATCTCAAATATGGCTCTTAGGTGACACCCATTTCTACATCAAGATCAGCCTGCTCTGTATCGACTGAAAATTCTCATTCCACGAGGAGTAACGGTAGTTCGAACTAGGAAGCCTAGTTCGAACTACCTAGTTCGAGCCCCGTGTAGCCGCGCGGCACAGGGTTTGAACGAGCGGGGATTTAAAAATGGCAGAGCCCCGCTTATGCAAATGTAGCCCAGGAAATTCAAATCCCGGGCTTCATTTGCAATTGCGGTATGCCTACATTACCCTCCTATTTCGAATTAGGAGGGTAGTGTAGACATACCCTCGGTGTGGTCGTTTATTGCCCTGTGCTGTCTTGTCTTGGCTGTTCACACCTCTGGGCATGGGCCCCAACAGGTAATTCTTTGGGCTCTTCCATTATAAATGTTTCCTGCCTGTGACTGAGAGACCTGGATGTATGTTACCCACTAAACTGCTTACCTTGTAAGTCGACTTTGGATAGTGGGGGTCCCCTACACACAGCATGGTGGAGGGGAAATAGTACCAGTACCGCTTCTGACAGAGGCGATTGCTCACAACCGACAGGTTCACTTCCCGAAGGGTGTTGGTTCCTGTGTTCAAGCTGGTCATACCCCATCCAGCCACTTTGCACACGGTCCCTGGGAGCACTCTGTGTTTACCAGTCGTTAAACGGACCAGCCCCACCTCCCTAGTCAGTGTCGCTTTGCGACGCAGCTGCCAGGGAAAACAGAAGCAGTAAAGGTACGTGGTGTCTTAGATGGAGACAAGAAATGGGGCATGGGATGGGGGCGGTACCTGCAGCAGTGTGAGGTCACTGGGGGTGGGGGATGGGATGGGATGGGGGTGGTACCTGCAGCAGTGTGAGGTCACTGGGGTGGGGGATGGGATGGGGTGGTACCTCCAGCAGCATGATGTCATTTTTTAAGGTCTTGCTGTTGTACTGCGGGTGGGGGATCTGCCGGCGCACGCGGATGCGTTGTTGACTCGGTTCCCATTTCCAGACATTGTGAGCTCCAAGGATGACGGTGATATTACTGTAAAGCGAAGAGCTACGCATGGGCCGTTGGGGGCAGGATGGGACGTGCCGAGGGGGATGAGCACACGAGGCTCCCGCTCTTGCACAGCGACGTGGGGGGCACAGGGCAGCCTGGGGACTTCAGGCCGAGATCTCAGAGTCAACCTCTGACATGGAGGAAGATCCGTGGCTCTTGGGGGCTGTGTGAGCTGCAGCCTGGGCAGGGCCTGGGTCTGGCTGGCTCAAGAGGTGGGAGGAGGCACCAGGAGTGTTTCTCTTCGGGGGGCAGCAGAAGCACAAAGCCCCTGCCCAGTGGGGTTGGGATCCCAACTTCTCTCAGCACCAGCCCCTTGTGCTGCTGCCCTGAGCTTCTTTACCTTCAGGAGCATGATGTCATTTTCCAGTGTCTCAGTATTATATCCCGGGTGGGGGATTCGGCGACGTACCAGGATCTTCTGCCTCCCTCGTTCTCTCTGGTTTGTCACATCCTGGGCCCCCAGCAGCACGGTGATGTTTCTGTGAATAAGAAGGGGATGCGGGTGCTCCGGACGGGCGCATGGTCTGGATCCAATAAGAGATTCAGGAGCATGATGTCATTTTCCAGTGTCTCAGTATTATATCCCGGGTGGGGGATTCGGCGACGTACCAGGATCTTCTGCCTCCCTCGTTCTCTCTGGTTTGTCACATCCTGGGCCCCCAGCAGCACGGTGATGTTTCTGTGAATAAGAAGGGGATGCGGGTGCTCCGGACGGGCGCATGGTCTGGATCCAATAAGAGAGTCGCTAACTTCATGGGTCTGTCTGTGGCCATCTCTCAGGCCCAGGGCCCTGGAATTCTTAGGCGCTTGTTTATTGAACGAGGAAACCGAATCTCTCGAGTCCCTGCCCATCCCCCCCAGCCAGGCCTACCTGTGACACTGAGCTACTGCCATCGAGCATGGGAAAACCCCACATCCTTGCTCAGTGTTGTGGTTCTGCCAATCGCTGCCCCTCCCACTATCCAGGTCACTCTGTTTTCCGAGTGGCAAGTGCCATTTGGGGAGGTGATGCTGTGACCCCAGCAGGAGCCGACTGTTCCGTGGAAAGCTCTGGCTTTGCACGAGGAGGGCTGGGCGGTCTCAGACTCTTTCATGCTGAGAGTTGGGGCAAGGGTTTCCCCAGCCACTGAGCTATGTGGCTCCAGGGGATTCCTTGGGCACCGACTTTGTAAACGCCAGGTCTGGGGCGTTGGTGGGTGGAGCTCTGTGTGTCCACATGAAGCAGAACAAACATCTAAGAAACTTCCCAAGAAGACACCAGCCCAGCCAGTGAAGCATGGGGCGCAGGACCCTATGCTGAGCCCAAGTCGAGAGCTTTTCGGGCAGAGCGCTGCTCGGCAGTGGCTTTGCAGGAGGAGCCAAGAAACAGTCGCTCGTGTTTTACCCCCGAGCATCATCCAGGGAGCAGGGGACGGTGCGTTCTTGGTGAGTAAACAGGACGGCAGAAGGAACAGACCGATGGTCCTTGCTGCATCTCGTCCCAAGGAAACGTCCTGCCAGGATGCTCGGTCCAAGGGGATGTTCCCGGAGCAGCGGACCCAGGGTTCAGTTGCTGACACCCCCTGGACCCAACAGCAACGTGTGTCCCCACATGACAAGAAGCCCAAGCCCGGAGTTGACTGGCCCGTGGGGCCAGGGAATGGGGCATGGGGCCTTTCCTGTATGCAGGGGCTGGTTCTTATCCTGCAGTGGGATGGTGATGGGAGGGTTAGGGGCTGGCTGATGTCTTACCCCCGGTTGGAGTTGCAATGAGCCGCCGTCAGCACCACGTCCTCCCGAATGAGAAACCCTCCGCAGCTTCCTTTTCCCGCTATATCCAGATAGGCCATGTAGGGTCGGGAGTGAGGCCGGGTCTCCCGTCCCCCGATGATCCTCCCTGGCAGAGAGATGGGGAGGGGTCAAACTCACCTGCTTTGGGACCACACCGGGCTGGAGAGGTTCACCGAGGAGCTCAGTCCCCCCCTCCCCAACTTCGCGACAGAGGAGATCAAATCCACCAAATCCAGTGGCTGTGGGGCTCTGTTGAGACCCTGCCCCACACGATCCCAGCCAGCTCTTCTCCCCATCCATGGTGGCTGGGGTCTCTCCAGCCCATCCCCTGCTTGCAACTCCTGCCCCATTAATCAGCGGTGAGTGTGATTGAGGGGGCAGACCCATGCCGAGCACTGGAGGGTCCATTAACGCAGCCCCGAGGTCGCTCTGCCTTTGGCTGCCGGGCGACTCAGCGGTGAATGTCTCTCTCCTGTGCGGGCGACTGGGGCAGGAAGAACCCGTCCCCACACAGGGATGGAAATACGGGTGGGTCCCAGAGGTGCACATGGAGCCGGCATGACTGTGAGATCAAGGGCGGGACAGACCCCAGAGGGGTTAACGGGCAGATCCCAGGCTCCGTCAGCAGTGGGGACAGCTTTGGAAAGCCACAAGGCAACAGCTGGGCCACGTCCGGCACCCAACACAGCTGGGCTTCTTGTTTCCAAAGCTGGGTGCCTCGGTGCCTGGAATCTTTCCCCTTTGGGGGGGGTGCAGGAATTGGCCTGGCCTCTGGGTTGCAGACGGTGTGATGGACCAGGCCAGGTCTGGGCATCCACTCAGGGTGAATTGCTCACTCAGGACCCCTTATAGCCCCCTACCGAAGACCTTCCCAAACAGCCCACATTATAGTCACACTGAGCAAAAGCCCTCAGATGTCACAGCTGTGTCTAGACTGGCCAGTTTTTCTGGAAAATCAGACGCTTTTCCGGAAAAACTTGCCAGCTGTCTACACTGGTCGCTTGAATTTCCACAAAAGCACTGACTTCCTACTGTAAGAAATCGGTGCTTTTTGCGGAAATACTATGCTGCTCCCGTTCGGGCAAAAGTCCCTTTTGTGCAAAACTTTTGCACCAAAGGGCCAGTGTAGACAACCAAGATTTGTTTTCCGCAAAAAAGCCCCGATCGCGAAAATGGTGATCGGGGCTTTTTTGCGCAAAAGCGGGTCTAGATTTTGCGGAAAAGCGTCCGTGCCAATCTAGATGCTCTGTTCCGAAAATGCTTTTAACGGAAACTTTTCTGTTAAAAGCATTTCCGGAAAATCATGCCAGTCTAGATGTAACCCACAAGTCTACCTGTGCCACAATCAGCCCCGAGACTAACACAGGTGAGGGGTTATAGAACCCAATCCCACCTACCCCGAACGGGTCCTCCCGGTCCCAAGAAACCAGCCACAGGCCCCTGTTGATTTACGCTCTGCATTTTACCCACAAGAGCACGCTGAGCCAGTCTTTCAGCATCTCAAATCTACCGGTTTATTAGTAAAAGGAAAAAAAGTAGGAGAGTGCGGTTGTAAAGGAGGATACACCACATGCATCTAATCTCCCAGTTCTCGATACAGAGATGTTATAAACTGCTAGCTTAAAAGTCTCTGGTGCACATCCTGGCTACGTCTACACTGGCACCCTTTTTTGGAAATGCTTAAAACGGAATAGTTTTCCATTATAAGTATTTCCGGAAAAAGCACGTCTACATTGGCAGGATGCTTTTCCAGAAAAGCACTTTTTCCGGAAAAACATCCGTGCCAATATAGACGTGCTTTTCCACAAAAAAAGCCCCAATCGTCTTTTTCGCGATCGGGGCTTTTTTGTGGAAAAGAAATCTGTGCTGTCTACACTGGCCCTTTTCCGGAACAGTTTTCCAGAAAAGGACTTTTGCCCGAACGGGAGCAGCATAGTTTTTCCGGAAAAGCACTGATGATTTTACAGTAGATCGTCAGTGCTTTTCCAGAAAAGCAAGCGGCTAGTGTAGACAGCTGGCAAGTTATTCTGGAAAAGCGGCTGATTTTCCAGAATAAGTGGCCAGTGTCAGGATGTCAGGATGGGTCAACGGGTCTTCCCGGCTCGCTGCCCCTCGCAAAGCTGTATCTGGGATCAGGAGCAGAATTGGAGACCAGATGGAGGTTGCTACGTGGCACCTATATCCCTCTCCTGGTATCTCCGTGGCCACAGCAGATCATCTGGCCCAGTGGCCTATCCCTGTTTCACATGCTGGCAGGCATGATGCCCTGGCTGGTTGGCAGGTATCCATATTTCCCGACACATTCCTCAGGCGTGTATTGGCACCTAGACATCCATTGTCCCTGGAGCCTTGCTAATTAGCATAGACACTGAACGGACATTCGTTACCCATTGCCCTGCCTCCGACAGGGAATCTTCCAGCATCATCCCCGAGTACATGTTTATAATTCCACATATGGATAATATATGCAAGAAGATAGACAGCACATACAGAATCAGAAGAAAATAAGTTTTCATTTGACACCTCATATGGTCCCCTTTGTGGCTCATTGCATCTCAAAGTAGGACACACGGCTTGGCTGTGGGTCCTACAGAATCCCTCTGGGGGCTGATCCACCCACTCCCAAAGGCGGAAAGCCCCTAAGGTTCTCAGGGGAGGTTGCAGGGGTCCCACTAGCCCCTTGGCTCAAAGTGGGTCAGAGGAAGACCTTCACTGAACCCACAGTCCCCTACCCTGCATGGGCCCCTCTCCTCACACCCCCAGCGCCCTTCCCCCACTCACCAGCCCAGCCCCCAGGGGGCAGGAGGAAAGCCCAGGGGAGCATCCCCAACACGAACAGCTGCATCGTCAGAGCCATCCTGGTCCGGGCACGGAGTCGCTCCCTCCAGCCTGAGGCTTATACAGACCAGGTGGGGGCAGAGCGGGGGCAGGGCCGGCCAATCACAGGGCCCCACATACACTCCTGCCTGGGAACGCCCACTGGAGATCGGCCACTGGCCAAGGTGCCCATTGGGCAATTCTCAGGTCACGGCCGCACCCACCTAGCGGGAGGTTTCCTCTCTGCTCCGGTCCCTGGCCTGGCGTCATGGCCAGCGGGGCCCCTGCCCGTCCATCTGCCTGAGGATGTGGCTAACACGACCCCCACTGCCTTGACTTGGCTGAGGATGTGGCGAACGCTGCCCTCCCCCCTCAACCACCAGGGTCAGAAACACTCCAGGGCCAGTCTGCAGCGAGATCCCTCAGCCCTGAGATTTCATGGGTGCAGGAGGAACAATTCCTGCCCCTCTGCTCTTTCCAGAGGCCAGACCTGCTTGCTGGCACTGGGAGACATGGGGTCTTTTCCCTCTAGGGCAGAGGGAGCAAAGTGCGGCCCATGGGCCATTTCAGACCCACCCTCAGCCTCTGCTCCCCCAGCATAGGGGCCGCGCACTTCTCGGCCCCCTGCGCTGATGCTCTGGGCAGTGCACTGGTGGGTCGGGACGAGCGGTGTGGCTGTAGCACCTCCAGTGTGGGGTGCCAAGTGGCACTGAGCAGGGAGGGCCGGTGTCACCTCATCATACTCCATGAACCTCCTATTCCCACCTAAATAACCCCCCTCTTAGAACCCCTCCCCCAACTGTACCCCATAGACACCCCGTCCCCCATGGCGGTAACATCCCCATTCGTGCCCCCATCCCGCGTCAGATCCCAGATGCAACCCTCGGGCCAAAAGATTTGCCCTTCCCTGCTGTAGGGCATCTCTCTGCTGCTGTCCCTGCTTCAAGGACCTCTTTCTGCCCTTCCCCATCCTGTTACCATGCACAGCACGGATCAGTATCGGTCCTGGGTGAGAAATTACACCCTGTCCCCTGTGTGAGATAGAGACGGGTGGCTCTGATCTCCCTGATACCCGCCTCCCGCCTCAGACCTTGTGTACGTGACACCCAGAGCATCTCCCCCCACAGCTGTCCAGCGACAGACTCTTCTGCCGCCCCATTCAGTGTATCAGTCCTCAGCGGGGCTCAGCCCCATCCTACCGATCTCCCTGCTGCCACTGAGTCAGGCCAGAGACCCCTACTGGAGCGGCCAGCAGCGTCCAAGTGGCAGGTGGGTCTAGACCTGGAAGGGTGGGGAGATGGGTCTCCCATCGAAGTGAGAGGTTCTAGATGTGTCTAGAATGGACGCACGATGATTTGCATTGATCTCGAAGCCATCTGCAGGTGGCCAGGTGGGCCTGGATTGATATTGAATGTAACAGCTTCCACTGGAATGAGTCTGGTAAGAATTGGAATGGAGCTGGCTGGCTGTTCATGCGTCTACGTTGAACCCCAAAAGCTACAGAGCTCCTCTACAATGGTTCTAGATGGTGATGCTCAGACCTGGGTGGATCGTAGAATCCTAGAATCCCAGGGCGGGCAGAGACCACAGGAATCATTGAGTCCAGACCCTGCCTATAGAAGGACAAACCCCGACTCAATCACCCCAGCCAGAGCTGTGTCAAGCAGAGACATAAAATTCTCTGTTAAAAGTATTTCCGCAAAAGAGCGTCTAGATTGGCTGCTTTTGCGCAAAAGCATCCGTGGCCAGTCTAGATGCAATTTTGCGCAAGAAAGCCCCGATCGCCATTTTAGCCATCGGGGCTTTTTTGCGCAAAACAATTCTACCTTGTCTACACTGGCCCTCTTGCGTAAGAGGGCTTTTTCCCGAGTGGGAGCGTGAAAGTATTTCCGCAAGAAGCACTGATTTTGTACATTACAAAGTCAGTGCTCTCGCGCAAATTGAAGCGGCCAGTGTAGACAGCTGGCAAGTTTTTGCGCAAAAGCACGTGCTTTTGCGCAAAATATTGCCAGTCTAGATGCACCCATGTTGTGCACAGCACGGATCAGTATCAATGCTGGGTGAGAAACCACAAACTGTCCCCTGTGCGAAATAGAGAGGGGTATCTCTGATCTCCCGGATACCAGCCTCCCAACTCAGACAATCAGGCTATGTCTAGACTGCAGGCTTCTTTCGAAAGAGGCTCTTTCGAAAGCATCTTTCGAAAGAGCCTCTTTCGAAAGATCGCGAAATCCGCTTTTTCGAAAGAGAGCACCCAGCGAGTCTGGATGCTCTCTTTCGAAGACGGCCTCTTTACATTGAAGAACGCCTTCTTTCGAAAGAGGAACTTTCGAAAGAAGGCGTTCTTCCTCGTGAAACGAGGTTTACCGCCATCGAAAGAAAAGCCGCGTTCTTTCGAAATAATTTCGAAAGAACGCGGCTTGAATCTGGACGCAGGGGAAGTTTTTTCGGGAAAAGGCTACTTTTCCCGAAAAACCCCCTGAGTCTGGACACAGCCTCAGAGTTTATTGTTTTCCTTGTTTGGGGATTTGGAAATCATGTCTGAGCTGGATAATTGTTTCTCTCTTTTGTAACTAACTATTACAGCCCAGGGATTCTCCCTGAGTCTATGTCACTTCATGGCTATTTGCCAACGAGTCAATGCACTATGCTCACAACAGTTGTTGTGTTTTGATAATAAAAGAGTTTTCTTTTTGTTTTGCTTAACCAGCATTGGTTGATCGTTGTGTCCCGAAGTTTACGGACCCAGTTACCCGGGCAGCATCCCGTATTCTCTGCAGATTCCCTCTCTTTGTTTTCCCAACTCCAAGCAAAGCAGAGGACGGAGCGTGGGGGGATGGGGGAAGGAGACCTTTGCCTTAGGGAGGGGATTTCTAAGTGATTTCTTCCCTCGCAAAGGGTTCATTTTATATGTTTCAAGCACACTAGGAGGGTGGCAGCTGTAGTCAGGCGGCCTGGCTTCCAGATGTCCCAGAAGGGAAAGTTCCCCTAAAGACTCCTTGGTGGGCGACACCAGAGCTCCCCAGCCCCGCCCACAGGAAGCAGAAGGGCGGGACCGGAAGTATAAGAGAGGGAGCTCCCAGCTCAGTTGGAGCCCAGAAGACGAGCAGAGAGGAGGCTCGGCCGCAGCTCCAGAGGTGATGGAGAACCTCACCCCACCACTCCCCTTGGGACAACTGGGTTGGGCCGCCAGGACCACGGCCGAGCCCAGTGCACAGCTCCAGGCAGCCGCGACCCCTGCAAGAGCCCAGTGACCACAAGAGGCTGCGGAGACCCCTGCTGAGGCCAGGGGTCTACCCTGGACCCCCAGGACCCAGACTTGGCTCGGAAAAATGGGTTGGACCTCTGCTTGAGTCAACCCTGGAACCTCTGGACACCCCGCTGGCTCCTGCGACCCCCACAGAGCCTGCTGACTGGACCTGGAGCCAGGTAGGACCCAGGGGGGCTGGAAAGTAGCCCAGGGGGAGCCGGCCCCATGCCGGCCAAAGACGTGGACGTCCGGATCCCCACTAACTCAACGACCAGTGTGTTGTGGCCAGGATCCCTGCTGACCCAGAGGCAGTCAGCATGGTGGCCCCCACCACACACTTTCCATGGGGTGGCAAGTTCCCCCCAGAAGGGAGAAACCACCTGCACCCTTTGGCTCTCCACCACCAAGCAGACCTGACCCCTGGCTTCCCTGCAAGCTGGCCCTTTGGGATGACTTCCCTGTTTGTTTGGTCACCCCGCCCTGAACCAGACCCTGGGTTTATAAACTGTGACTGTTTCTTTGCCCGCCCCGCCCTGGCCCCACGACTGAGGCTGTTGTAGGGAGGCAAGGAGGCCGCCCATGGCCTGAGACCGTTCCACGGCGTGGTTTTTAATGTCTCTTTCTTTTCTTGGCTCTCAGGCAGACTGAGACGGTGTCAGCTTGTCCCTGAGAGTTGCTGAGACCAGTTTTGCAGAGTGTATTCGGCTCACCGGACCTCCACTCTGTGCGCAGAGGGTCGGGTGGGGGGGATTGAGCCGTGACAGAGGGGCACGGAGAGGAGGCCGCAATGCTGAGAGTAACCACCAGGGGATGCTGCAACGCCGAGAAATTGGCCAGCGGGGGGGAGGGGAGGTTCTGCCATATTGCTCCCCTGAGCCGACCAAAACTCATTCTCACTCCCAGCCACAGCTCACAACCCCCGAGTGGCCCCACCTCCTGCCTTGCCCACCCCCGAGTGGCCCCACCTCCTGCCTTGTTCAGAGTCCCAGTCAGTGTGTCCCCTGCCTGAATCCTCCACCCAGCTCAGCTGTCAGGCTGGCCTGGGCCATCCCCTATGGGCTTCCCCTCAGGAGTCCTCCCCACGTGAACCCACCCTCCGCTGGGCACCCCTGCTCCCCCCCCACACACACAGAGTCTCTGCAGATCAGCACACGGCAATACGAATCACACGCAGCACCACAAACAACCATTGAATGCAACAAATCAGTGAACACCGTAGCTACAAGAGTGAATCCCCACCCCCTAGATCATACTATCTATCTATCTATCTATCTATCCCCACACACCCCACACACACCATCTATCTATCTATCTATCTATCTATCTATCTATCTATCTATCTATCTATCTATCTATCTATCTATCTATCTATCTATCTATCTATCTATCTATCTATCTATCTATCTATCTATCTATCTATCTATCTATCTATCTATCTATCTATCTATCTATCTATCTATCTATCTATCTATCTATCTATCTATCTATCTATCTATCTATCTATCTATCTATCTATCTATCTATCTATCTATCTATCTATCTATCTATCTATCTATCTATCTATCTATCTATCTATCTATCTATCTATCTATCTATCTATCTATCTATCTATCTATCTATCTATCTATCTATCTATCTATCTATCTATCTATCTATCTATCTATCTATCTCACATCTCTCTCTCTCTCTCTCTCTCTCTCTCTCTCTCTCTCTCTCACACACACACACACACACACACACACACACACACGGTACATGAGCACATGTCTGACTGTGAGCACTTGCCTGTTGTGATTGGACTGAGAGGGGGTAAGTAAATATCTCTGTGCTCAGCTCCTGGCTGAATCAGGGCCTTGCTCCCTTATTCATACATGACTTCTTGAACTGCCGTTTCACATCCTGTGAGCCCTACGCCCCACCCCTCTTGTTGGGGACTCTGGGCGGGGTGTGGGCTGGAGTAGCCCTCCTGCCCCAACCAAGCAGTCACTCAGGAGTCCAGACACCCCCAGCAGCGGCTGCACAAAGCCATTTAATGCATCCTCCGCAGCATGGGCGATGCACCCACCAGGGAACGTCACACGGTTTCCTCAGTGTATTGCGGGGACCATCCAGGACAGAAGCAGAAGCAAACGTGGTCTGTGGTCTATCCACTGCAGAGGGCACCAGTTCCAATTTGGCTGCAGGGTGGGAGACTGGCTGGCTCCAGGGGATGAAATATGCGATCTTGGACATTCCCCCTTTAGGGAGCACCAGCTCTAATCCACCCCAGTAATGGGGATGTTCTAGCACAGGGGATGAGACCTGGGGCCTTTCCCCCACTAGAAGGTGCCATCTCTGATCTGGCTGCAGGATCATATTGACAGTAAATCCATGAGTAGCTGGGCCCAGATGCAGAGGAAGGTCTAACCCCTTGTTTCCAGGAGCAGGGTGTGTAGCAGAAGTCTGTAGCTGGCTGAGCAAGGATTCTCTTACTAGATTCCTCTCAACGTGGCTTTGATCCAGGGCAGGAAGTGAGAAATCCGTGTGTACACAGCCGGAGGTACAATGCTGTTCTTGTCGCCAAAGGAGACGATGCCTTCGACCACTCCACGGCACACAAGTGGGCCTCCAGAATCGCCCTGCCCCAGAAGAAGTAGGGTGACTAGAGTTACTGTACAGATCATACCTGGGGGTAGGTCACTCTAGACAACATGTTTTTGCAGACAAATGTACGCAAATTGTGCTCCGCATTTCGCATATCTTTCTCCACTTCTTTTTGGAAGAGGCTTTTCTGAAATTTGGCCCTTCTACACTGGGCCAAGCACGAGGAACACCGGCTTCCGAAAGAGGGTGTTTGCTCTTTTGCAAAAAAAAAAAGTGGAAGAGCAAACACGTTCTCTGGATACAGCAGATTTTTACCCCTACCTCCTCCCATAGTCTGGATGTACCCTGAGTGTTTAGAGCTGTTTGGGACAATAATAACATAGGACATTCCAAAAAGTCAATTAGCACTGACATGTCAAGAGATTCACAGACACTAATGCCAGAAGCACCAACATAATTATCTAATCTGCCTTCCCGTTTGAGGCTATATAAGAAGAAAGATGATCAGTGACACTAACTAATTCACCATTGTTACAAAACCACAGTCAGTCTTGTTCAAAGCATGTCATGTAAGGTACCCTTGGGAAGGCTATAAGTGGTTAAGTGAGATTATCTTGTTTGAACCCACCAATCCTCATTGTATCTGAAGGTATGCTTCCTTTTTGCATCTCAGGTATGTTTTGCCACCAGAGGGATGCAAATCAAGCACGCCGAAATTGCTAATGAAGCCAGAATTTAAATATCCCGTACTTCATTAGCATAAACATGGCCACCGTTTTTTTTTTCAAAACTGATTTAAAAAAAAACAAAAAAACAGCAGTCTAGGTCCGGATCCATAAAAAATAAACCGTTTTTCGACAGATCCTGTATTCCTCAAAAAATGAGGATTACAGGATTTGTCAAGGATGGGTTTATTGTCAACAGATCCGCCATTTCTTTTTCTTCTAGATTCCTCTCAGGGTGGCTTTGATCCAGGGCTGGAAGTGGGGAATCTGAGGGATTCCAGAAATCAGGCTAGCAGCCTAACCATCATCATTATGAACCTGAAAATCTGAAAATCGTGGGTAATGCAAACCCTTTGTTTAACCCTTCAATAACTGTCTTCACTTTCTTATGGTGATAACAAAACCTGGAGATTTTAGTTCTTAAAAGATTGGCTACAAGCATGATTTTGGGGTACGTTCAGAGCTACAGAGTGACCTGGTGAAGTGGTTGATCTGTTGGGATTAGAAGAACCCTACATTTGATGAACGCAGTTTTCAGTAGCCTCTCATCATAATGACCAGTTATCTAGGTGGTGATGCAGAGGCTAGAATGCCTCTTTTGCTTTCTCGTTAATCAGTGTGGGGAGAGAGGCACTCCCTTTTGCTAATGGTTTGGTAAAATCTAATTGAGATTTGTGGGGTGTGTCCACTCTGGTGTTTGTACCAGCCTGGTGTCCTGAATTTGGCCCTCTCACCCTATAAAACATAGGACATGGGAAGGTGCTGATCTAATTCATGGTTAGATTACAGCAAATAATTTCAAAAAACATCCAGGCTTGATTTAAAAGAGGGTCCAGTGGAGGGTGACCAAAACAATGAGGGAGCTGGAGCACATGACCTACGAGGAGAGGCTGAGGGACTTGGGTCTATTTAGTCTGCAAAAGAGAAGAGTGAGGGGGGATTTGAGAGCAGCCTTCAACTTCCTGAAGGGGGGTTCCAAAGAGGCTGGAGAGAGGCTGTTCTCAGGGGTGGCCGGTGGCAGAACAAGGAGCAATGGGCTCAAGTTGTGGTGGGAGAGGTCCAGGTTGGATATTAGGAAAAACTATTTCCCTAGGAGGGTGGGGAAGCACTGGAATGGGTTCCCTAGGGAAGTAGTGGAGTCTCCATCCCTAGAGGTTTTTAAGCCTCAGCTTGACAAAGCCCTGTCTGGGTTGATTGAGTTGGGATTGGTCCTGCCTTGGGTAGGGCGCTGGACTTGATGACCTTCTGAGGTCTCTTCCAGAACTGTGGTTCTATGAGTCTATGAAAAGTTGCCAGTGATGGAGACTTTTTCGGCATAGCTGATACCAGCGAGTGGGTCAGACCCAACAGCTCATCTGCACCTGTGGGCTGGGCTAAATTTGTGCTAAGGCTCAGCCCCAGCATCTGTAGACCTGGTCATTAATGTCTTGGTCTCTGACAAATTAACTCCAGGCCCTTGTCCATGATGACTTGGTCCTATGGGAGCTCTTGGGTGTAGTGCTTGGTGAGCTACAGGATATCAGACATGATGAGTAGACTACGAGACTGCAGAGAGGTGTCTGGGATCTGAAACTTTGGAAGAACCACCAGGAATCTGTCACCAACTGTAGCACACAGGTATTGGGTGGTATCATGGAAAAGCTACGCCGTGTCCACGGAACGCATCCACTTTTCCAAATACAAATTCGGGAAACACGGCTGTGCTCTTTCACCATCCCTGGAAGCCTCATCATACAAGGAACAAGGGATGTGTCGAAAGAGGACGTTTTTTCGAAATTTGCTGCCGTGTAGACAGGCCAAATTTCAGAAACGTCTCTTGTCAAAAGTCTGGCAGTCTCCAGGCTCCTCCACCTCCTGCATCACTAGACTTTGAGCAGACCAGCCATGGGCTGAGACCCAGGCCTCAATGCTTGTGAGTAGGTAGCTAGTGTCATTTTGGGGACCCAGTCACCTTGTGGTGTGTGAATCAGGCAGGGAAGGGACTTGTTACACCCCAGGCCAGTAGCTGACCATAGGGAGGTGAAGGTGGCCTGGGTGGAAGGCTCTGAAGAAGACACCGGTGTGACAGAGGTTGAGTCACTGGGAATTGATCATCCAGAGGGGTCAGGTCCCACTGAAAATGCCGGGCCCATGGGAGACCCGGCTGATCACACAAAGCAGCACAGGAACAAAAAGGAGCAACAGGCACCGAAGCCACTTACCATGTAAGCCGACTTGCGGTCGTCAGGGTCCCCAGCACAGAGCATGCTGGAGGGGACGTAGTTGCTGAACTTCTCTCTGCACACCTCATCACTTATCACTTTGAGGTTTACTTCCCGAAGGATGTCAGTTCTGTCCATCAAGCCGGTCCGGCCCCAACCAGCCACACTGCACCTTGTAGGGAGCTTCACTCCACGCCGTCTGGATGTCAAACGAATCAGCCGCACGTCCCTCGTCAGACGCGCCTTCCCGCTCAGCTGTCAGCGCAAAGAGCAGTGGGGAAGGCAACAGACCAAGACGTGTAGAAAGAACTTCAGTAGATGGAGGCAGATCAGAATGCAAGATACAAAGGGGGGGGCTTCAATGGGGCGGTACCTGCAGCAGTGTGAGGTCACTGGGGGCGGGGGATGGGATGGGGCGGTACCTGCAGCA